ATAATGATCCCAAAAAAAAAAAAAAAAAAAAGGGGAAACGATAATTCTTGCATGTAGGCTGCATGAGCAGCATTAACGGCCAGCCTCTCTATTCACCAAATGTGCTAAATGGGAATATATATTCTGCCAGAACATGGTAACATTCAAATATATATATTTTGTCTTCTGTGCATGTCGTGAGTAGTGGAGGGAGGCCCTCAGTCACAAGAATACCGTAATAAGTGGGGGTCTTGAGGATCGCCAAATCTCAAATGAGTGCTGAAGAATTTCGATTCGACGGAAATGTCTACCTCCGGGAAATATGCCACAGAGATTCATTTCATTCAATGCAATATGATTTATTTTCATTTTTTTTACTTTTGGACCATTTCTCGATTTATGCGTGTCATCCTTGAAAGCGCAGGGGCCATGCTAATCTTCCCCTTCTCTGTATCGTTCCAATTTTCACGGATGTCCCGAAGGAATTTCACGTCCGGTGAAGGCGGTAAAATTTACTCTCGCGATTGCGGTGAACATCTAGCAGGGAATGGAAATACTGAACGTGAATTGGACAAAAAAAATTGACAAAAAAAAGGGCGGGAAATGGAAATAATGAACGCGAATTTGACAAAACAATTGACAAAAAAAAGGGCGGGAAAAGTACATCCCCTCGATAATACGCTCCATCCCACAAATACACGGAGTAAAACAGAGAGCTACGTGCCCCTGCTAAAAACACTTACATGTGCAACTTTATTCAACGATATAAGGCTGCCGTACAAGTATTTGGTGTGACTGAGTGGCAGTTACCGCGACCGCTCGACAAGGGAAAACGAGCCAACCGAATAACCACAATTCGAAGATAATAAAAAAAGAGCCAACTTAATAACCACAATTCCACGACAAACATTTTTTGCACACGGGAACATGAATGTAGCTGCGATCAGATTTCAATTCATCGAACGTTTTTTCTGTTACTGCGCAACAACATTTCCGGTGACCACAACAGAAGGAAGGAGAAAGGAATTTTTTTATTGAATAGTCTTCTAGAAATGACCTGGAGACTGCATCTCGTACTACTCGTAGCACTGCCCCTGGCGCATCTTTCCGAACAATCAATATAACCAAATCCGCAAATAGGTAAAGGGCAGCAGCAACAACAAAATTCACATCAACGAGCCTCTCCTTCAAGGCTCATTGCGTTCTTCCCCCAACAACAGTCATCCCTGTCTGGCCCCCATTTGCCCACACTCCTGAATCCTTATTGCTGATTTCTCTGTCTCTGTTCAGGCCTCAGATCATTGGGGTAAGTGGGCCCTCGCCCTCTGCAATACCAACCAATACCCCCGTACTGATCATCGGGGTAAGTGGACCCTCGCCCTCTGCAATACCAACCGAAGACGCCGTACTGGATGGCTTCTCTCTCTCTCTCTCTCTCTCTGTCTCTCTCTCTCTCTCTCTCTCTCTCTCTCTCTCTCTCTCTCTCTCTCTCTCTCTCTCTCTCTCTCTCTCTCTCTGTNTCTCTCTCTCTCTCTCTCTCTCTCTCTCTCTCTCTCTCTCTCTCTCTCTCTCTCTCTCTCTCTCTCTCTCTCTCTGTGTGTGTGTGTGTGTGTGAACGATAACGACGATCTCTCCAACTCCCGGGGAGAAATGCCAGTGGACGCATCAAAACAGTGATCAGGTTGCCCTGGAGCTCGGGTCCTTCCTACGACAATAATAGACATCCCCACCGCATCACCATTTCCACACCTTCGTATTAGTATTATCCGCCAATGTGACAGCAGACATCCATCGTCTAGTTGATCTGGACGTCGACGACTTTGGGCTGCTCTGGTTCTTTCGGCGGCATCTTGGGCACCGTCACGGTGAGTACGCCATCTTTGCACTGCGCGCCAATTTTGTCGAGTTCCGCGTTGTCCGGCAGTGTGAATCGGCGCATGAACTTGCCCGTGCTGCGTTCCATCCGATGGTACTTGTCGCCAGCCTCACCCGTCTTCGTCTCGCGATGGCGCTCGCCGCTGATGACCAGCGTGTTGCCGTTCTCCAGCTGCACCTTCACCTCCTCGCGACTGAGTCCCGGCAAGTCTGCCACGAACTGGTACGCCGTCGGCGTCTCCTTCACGTCCACCGCGGTGTTGGCCATGGCACGCGATTCCCTCATGAACGTGCGGCCGGGCTCGTCCAGCGTGTGGAACATCTCGTCGCCCAGCGACATCATCTGCCGCATGGAGTCCGGCATCGCCCACAAACTCAAATCTCGGGTGAAGAACGGAGACAGCGCCATGGTGGGCGAAGGAAGCTGGACAGAAAGGGAGATGCTGTAGTGCGAAGGAGCTGCAAGCTTTCGAGACTGTGCCGGCAAACGATCGGCGATCGGTGAGTGAGTGCGGAGAGTGAGGACAGGACGTCAGCAACACAGAGTGGGAATGACCGCGAAAATCTTCAACACACCAGAGGAGCGAGACGCGAGACTGAACTCAGGTCACGAGCGCGTTGAGTGCGAGGGAAAGGGAAATGAGGTCACGAGCGCGTTGAGAGCGAGGGAAAGGGAACGATGGCGTCGCACAAAGAACTCAGCGTGAGGGAAAGAGAACGATGGCGTCACACAAAGAACTCCGCGTTTCACATAGAGATATAGAAGTCAAAGTGTGATGTGGACTGTGCTGATCGATTCACGACAATACGGGAGTGTAAGTTTCAATCTCTATTTATAGGTGCATGAAGACGGTGTTACCCTTTGATTGAAAGACGAGGGGCCTCGCTGCAATGCTCTCCACATGCACAAAAGACAAATAAGATGGCAATGTATCTTTCCATGCCCTAACGGAGGATTCAGTCGCAGCTTGCACATTCGGAGAGTAGCGCAGCGAGGCCCGAGGCACGAAAAAGAATACGACGGCGCCATGCGGGACGGACAGCTGCACGCCCAGCGTGGACGCTGTGAAGGTTCGAGACGCAGCTTTGAGTTTCCCCAACCCCTGAATCTGGACACGATTTTGGAGATGTGCAGAAATCACGTTCAGTTTCCTCAACTGCACACACCTCCGCAAACAGGTCCAGATTTAGGCGGTAACCGGCGACAGCTAGGTGAACAACTCCAAGGCGACCTCACCGCGCGCCAGCGACCAGTGGGGACGACCACACGTCCCGATCTGTGACTTCCAGAAGAACCGGCCGCGGCGGTTGGCGACTTCTACACAACTCCAGAAATGTCATCCGTCGTCGCTTTCTTGCTTTCGAGAAACTTCCGAAATGCCCCTGACGTTTCGATTAACTTGAGGCACGCCGCTCTGACGGCCAACTTACCCTGTTGTGCTCCTCTGACAATGAATGATGTTTCGAGAAACCCCCTGGCGTCCTTTGGGCCTGAAAAATGTTTCATATGCCTCTGCTGGTACCTCTCCAAAATTTCCAGTACGCCCCTGCCGGTGGTTGGCCGTTGAGCACCAACATATTAGTCTCCCATATGCCCTTACCGCTACTGTAAATCTTTCCAGCATGCCCCAGTCGTCTTTGTTGCCAAGCGCAGTCCTTTCCCTGCTCCCCGGAGTGCTACCGGGGCATATCAGAAATTTCCCGTAGCATAAGGCCAGCCCTGGGGTTGCAGACTTACCTGTTGGCCGGTGCTTTGCTCATCCTATAGATGGAAATCTCTCTCTCTCTCTCTCTCTCTCTCTCTCTCTCTCTCTCACACACACACACACACACACACACACTCACTCTTACTCTTGGGCACTCCTTTTCTTTTCTATTAATTGATTGATTGGTGGGAGGGGAGTCTCCCCCCAACCCCCCCACACACACATGCACTTAGACACACACACACAACCAAAAAAAAAAAAAAAGAAAAATCTTCTTCTTCTTTTTGTTTTCTTGTTTTTTTGCAGTTTCTGATTTTTTTAATAACCAGAAAATATGCGAGTTGGAAAAAAAAAAGGGGTTGTAGGCTTCGAAAAACCCTACAACCCCATTCATTTTTACGTTTTTCTTACGTTTTATTTCGCCGGGGAAAAATCCATAATAATGATTTGGGGCCGCCATCGGCCGTGGCCACAAACGAGGGTGATACATAGCTTCCAGATGGAAGTGCCAGCTTATTGGGCAGGCCAGGGCCGGTGGGCGGTTCCCACTATCCGTCGGTCCCCCGAAAGGGTCTGACGGCTGGCCCGCCATTTCGTACCCGCGGCGGGTTTTTCATTTTTTTTTCCTAATAGAAAGAAAATGTGAGCGCAGGGGGGTTCCCGACTGCCAGGGCCAACCCCCCACGCCACTGAAACAGGGTTGGTCAATCCCCGCTGGCCGTGGCGCTCTTAGGTGGGGGGCGCTCTAACCCGTTGAACTGCGGGTAGGGCGGGGGTTGATCGGGGTTAGGACGCCGCTCTAACCGTAGAGCGGGGACCCCCGTTCTACCCCCCCCCCCCTCCCGACACGCAGGTTGTGGATGACTCAGGATGAGTGATGAATCTTCTGGATCAGGTTCAGGATCAGTCTCTGGTTTATGTTCTGGATGCGGTTTGTAGAAACCTATGCAGCTTGTCTAGATGGTCGAGACATGCAGTCATTGCAGTGCACTGTGTGAAATTCGCACTGCGTGCGCTAATTTATGCGTTGGATAGCGCTATTTTTTAGGGCCCGGTAGGAGAGGTTATGACTAGTGGGTAGGGACTGATTGCGACGGGGTTGCGTTGTTATGGGACGTAATTTTGGGACAGAGACTCTGCAAGTTTTTGCGTTGACGAAAGGAGAGGAGAATTAGGGCCGGCGACTTTTTCGAGTTGACAATAGGAGAGGAGAATTAGGGTTGCGTGGGCTTTTTGGTGTGGGTGATAGCGGGGGGACTGGGCAAGGGGGTGAGAGGTTGAGCTGGCTAAGGAAACGTGGGAGCGGTTTGTCTTGTTGGTGTTGGTCGCGGAATCGTGGTTGGCGGAATGCCATGACGGGAGATTCGGAGGGGGGTGGTGGAGACTGTGGAGAGTGCGGGCGGCTTTTCAGTGCAGGTGATTTCGAGGGAACTGGATGAGGGGGTGAGAAGTTAAGTTGGCTATGGAAGCGTGGGAGCAGCTTATCTTGTTGGTGTTGGTTGCGGTGGCGTGGTTGGCGGGGCGCCATAACCAGGCGATTTGGAGGGTGGTGGTGGAGATTGTGGAAAGTGCGCCGGTGGGAGTGGCTTGGCTGGGGGCGTTGTTTGTGGAAAGTGTGGCGAGAACGGGCCAGGCGTTCATAGTGGGCGCGGCATGGGTGGGAGCTCTCCTAGCCGGGAGGTATGTGGTGAAGGGAGGGTGGGAGGTCGGTAAATGGTGGAGACATGTGACACAACGGAGGGGCATGCATTGGTCGCTATGACAGTGGCGTGGCTGGTAACGGTACTTGCTGCGCTGGTTTATCGACAACTAGCAGAGGTCAAACAGGGATTCGCGGATAGGGCGCTTGTGGCTGGACAGGGACGGCAAAACGTGGCAATGGCAGTGCTAGATCGTTCGAGGGGGGAGACGTCGGTGGCCGACCGAAGGGGAGGAGGGATAAGAGACGCGTCCACACAGAGAAGGGAGTTGGGGACAGAGGGAGGGCAGACACAACAAAGCGCTGTGGAGGGAGAGACAAAACGGTCGAGGGGGGAGGTGGTAGTGAACGATTGAAGGGGGGGGGGGGCGAAAGACGTTGCTACGCAAACAGGAGGGAGAGTCTTGCTGCATCGTTGGGGGCTTCGCGGAGGGGAGTGGTCGGATTCGGAAGGGAAGAGCAATGGGTCGGGCGAGGTCGCTCGACGGTCGGCCATGGATTCAAGGAAGAAAGGAGAGATAAAAGCGTGGGATGAAGAGACAGTGGACTGATTGAAGAATGTGGTTGGTGGAGTAGGTGTCAAGCGGGCTTGTGGACAGGAAGGGGAATAGGTATAGGTTCCTGGGGGGGGTGGGGGTTAGGCGGTGTTACTTGTCAACCTGCGGATTGTGAAAGGGTGACACCAGGTGCCTGCAGAATAGCGGGCGGGGACGATCGCGGAGCCTGAGCTGGGTGCTAGGCGATCGATTGGTGACTGTCATTTGAAAAATCAGCCATGCAGGGACAACATCGGGGTGGCGGGGGGAGGCCGGAATGGGGCTTGATGAAAGCGGTCCATAAGGCGGTGGTGGGGGGGGCATTCTTGGTGGACGATAGGGCCATACATAGAGAGGATGGATCGGAGATTAGTCTGAGAGTGAATCAGGCATTGGCACAGGTGTATGTCACGTACCTACGATCACATGTGGTGCTGGTGCGATTTGAGGGGCCGTTGAAGCAGTTCTCCTCGGCATTGAAGATAGACTTGATCAGCCAATGGGAGGACGGCTGGCCACAATTGCCTCGGGGGCGATTTAAAGGGAGAAAATTGGCGGAAGGGACGACTACGATCAAGCACTGGGCGCCGTCAGCACTATTGAGAACTTGGTTAGTGGAAACCAAGAAAGAAGAGAAAGTTAACATCAATGGTAAAGAGCATGTGGCGACGTTTTCACCGTGGAAAACACCGGTGGAGCTTGAATGGGAAAGACTGATGGCGCGTAAACGGCACCTGTGGGTGAAATTTTTGCACCCGTCACCAATTGTGCGACCTTTCCTCAGGGACACTGCCGGACACGTCTATAGCGAAGTTATCAACGATGAGGGGGAGCAGAAGTTGGATGACTTCGGAAGGGAGGAGATATGCTTCTTCCTTAGGTCGCCACTCAGAAGAATTGGCCTGGAGCGCCTGACGATCGATCTCGGCATTTATGGCCGCCACCCAGTGCGATACATCACAAGTGAAACACCGTGGTGTACGTTGTGTAGGAGACATGGTCATTTGGCGGGGAACATGTATTGCCTCTCGACCCTGGAAATGAGGAGAGAGCTTAACAGAAGGGAGAGGAGGTTGGGAGAACATCCGGCACGACCTAGGGACGTTAAAGCTGAGATGGAGGGATGAATCCGATTTGAATAGGAGTACGACTACGTGATCAGTGCGGAGCTCCTGATGGAGGGCAGCCTGGTGGATGTGGAAGGAGTTTCGGTCGGCCGCTTCCAACCATCGGTGAGAATAGTAGAATACAACAAATCTTCGAACAGGAAAGGCAGAGTGGACCGGATGTGGACCGTAGGGAGGAAGAGGATGAGGCGGCGAGAGGGGAGGAAATGGAAGTCGAACAGAACTCGCCAGGTGCTGGCAAGAAGGCAGAAGGGGCTGAGACGACAAGTAGGCAGGAGATGGGGGCACAGCAGGATACTTCGGGGCATAGGGAGAGGGAAGTGGAAATGGAGGATTTGGGGGCGGTAGATGTGGTGGGGAAATCGGGAACAGGGGATGATGCTCGATCTCGTACAAAATCAGAAGGAGGGCAGGCTTGCCGAAAAATAGAGCGATTGGAGAGGGAGCAACAAGCAATGATGGATGAGGATATGAATGACAGGGGTGGATTTGGGGACACGTTGGAAAATAAGGTGGATGAACAACATGGCCAGAACGAGGGGGGGCCGGAAAGGGAGGCAGGGATAGAGTCTCTGCAACCCCGGGGCGGAGGGGGGGAGAAGAGGGAAGAGAAACACCTTACAAGATCATAGGGTCTGCCATCGATGAGAATACAACAGATCTCAGGACAGGAAAGGCAGAGTGGACTGGGTGAGGACCGCAAGGAGGAAGGGGATGAGGCGACGAGAGGGGAGGAAATGGAAGTCCAACAAAACTCGCCAGGTGCTGGCCAGAAGGCGAAAGGGAATGAGACGGTAAGTAGGAAGGAGACGGGGGAACAGCAGGATCCACCGAGGCATAGGGAGAGGGAAGTGGAAATGGAGGATTTGGGGGAGGCAGATGTAGCAGGGAAATCGGGAACGGGGGATGATGCCCCGTTGGAAAAAGGGAAAGAGACAAAGAGGGAGGGAGGGGGGGGGGCATGGGCAGTGCCGGCCCCGTGAACGTGACCAGCACCAGTCACTTGAACGTGACCGCCCGTTCAGTTGGTGTTTTCTTTGTGAACGGGCCGACCACTAAAGAGTCATGTCGTGGCCCCCCCTCCTCCCTTTCCCTGCCCTCGCCCTCG